GGGGAGCATCTTGCTCCTTCAACAACCAAGACCCCGGAAAACCCCAGCTGTGTTTGGCTGGAGCCACGGGCCTTGCCCAAGTCAGCTGAGAGGTCCTGGCAGGGGTTTTCTTAGGCAGCTGCCTGGCGTAGTTTGAGCAGAACAGGCCATGGGTGTGATTCTGCAGAAAGGGCCTGGTGTCTGCTGTGGTCACGGCCAGAGCAGCAGGAGGGAGAGGGTGGGGTGAGGGGGTGGGTGCCCTGCACAAGGAGCCTTGTCTGGGCCAGGGCAAAGCTTACCTATGGGGGGGCTCCAGTGGGAGGGACTGCAACCAGGATGTGGGAGGGCAGGAGGGCGGTTCTGTAAAGTGCTAGGGGAGGGGGCGGCTGGAAAACAGATTTCGAGTCATAAAGTCAGCCAGGGACAGGCCGAGGCAGGGAGAGCTCTCTGTTTGAAGAAGAAGCTGGGGTCCTCTTTTGTCCTATCTTCACCCTGCCTGGCTGCGTGACCTCGGGCAAGTCCCTGCTTTTCTCTGGGCCTCAGTTTCCCCCTCTGAAGAATGGGGGGTGGTGGGTTTTGGCTGGGTTATGTGGGGGTAGGACCTTGGGATGGAGGTGAGTTTGGGCTGGGGTCCTGGGAGGGACGAGTCACTTGGGCAGGTCCTCGGGATCACCTGGGTGATGTGTCCTTTTCCGCAGGAGGTACCATGCAGGAGCTGCGCCTGCTCTGCTGGGCAGTTCTCCTGGGCCTGGTGCAGTCCTGTCCCGAGCCCTGTGATTGTGGGGAGAAGTACGGCTTCCAGATTGCCGACTGCGCCTACCGCGATCTGGAGGCTGTGCCACCTGGCTTTCCAGCCAATGTGACCACACTGAGCCTGTCAGCTAACCGGCTGCCAGGCTTGCCAGAGGGGGCCTTCAGGGAGGTGCCCCTGCTGCAGTCACTGTGGCTGGCACACAACGAGATCCGCACAGTGGCTGCCGGTGCCCTGTCCCCGCTGGGACACCTTAAGAGCCTGGACCTCAGTCACAACCTCATCTCTGACTTTGCCTGGAGTGACCTGCACAACCTCAGTGCCCTCCAGTTGCTCAAGATGGACAGCAATGAGCTGACCTCTATCCCCCGCGATGCCTTCCGCAGCCTCAGTGCGCTGCGCTCCCTGCAGCTCAACCACAACCGCCTACACACGGTGGCCGAGGGCACCTTCACACCTCTCACAGCACTGTCCCACCTGCAGATCAACGACAACCCCTTCGACTGTACCTGTGGCATTGTGTGGCTCAAGACATGGGCCCTGGCCACGGCTGTGTCCATCCCGGAGCAAGACAACATTGCCTGCACTTCGCCACACGTGCTCAAGGGCACTCCGCTCAGCCGCCTGCCACCACTGCCTTGCTCCGCCCCCTCAGTGCAGCTCAGTTACCAGCCAAGCCAGGATGGTGCTGAGCTGCGGCCTGGCTTCGTGCTGGCACTCCACTGTGATGTGGACGGGCAGCCGGCCCCCCAGCTTCACTGGCACATCCAGACACCGGGAGGCACTGTGGACATCGCCAGCCCCAACGTGGGCACTGATGGGCGTGCCCTGCCCGGCACCCCAGCAGCCAGCAGCCGACCGCGCTTCCAGGCCTTTGCCAATGGCAGCCTGCTCATCCCCGACTTTGGCAAGCTAGAGGAGGGTACCTACAGCTGCCTGGCCACCAACGAACTGGGCAGCGCTGAGAGCTCAGTGAACGTGGCACTGGCCACACCGGGCGAAGGCGGGGAGGATGCACTGGGGCGTAGGTTCCATGGCAAAGCGGTGGAAGGCAAGGGCTGCTATACGGTTGACAACGAGGTGCAGCCATCTGGGCCTGAGGACAACGTGGTCATCATCTACCTCAGCCGCGCTGGGAGCCCTGAGACTGCAGCAGCAGGGGAAGGGGCCACTGGGCAGCAGCTCCCAGGCCTGTTCCTGCTGGGCCAGAGCCTCCTCATCTTCTTCCTTGCTTCCTTCTAGCCATGCCCTGACCCAGGCAGGGCTGGGACAACCCAGAGGCCTCCCTAACTTCTCTACCCAAGCTGCCCTTCTTCCTGATAAGTGCCGAGAGGTCTGGAGATGGGCGGCTTGAGGCCTGCTTGGGCAACTCCACATTTTCCTACCTCCCCTCCTAATATCTCTGGAACACCTACCACCCCAACTTCTAGATCTGCTCAGAGCTAGTGACAAGGAGGGACACTCACCGTCTGTGGTGCTAAATGCTGCTAACAGCATCTTCGAGCCTCCCTATCAGGGGCGGCAAGCTAGAGGTGCGATGTCCTAACTAGACTGGGAATTCCAGGCACTGTGATTGACAAGCTAGTGGGGGCTACCCGGGAGGTGGGGGTGGGCATGGGGTGTGGCTGAGAGGTGTCCTGGGGCAGGCAGCACAGGAGAGGGTGAAGGATGTTGGTGGTGGCCAGAGGCTCTGTGCCCTGCTGCAGCTCCTTCTGCCCCCAGGTGTTCTCTGACCTTGTGTGCGGGGGGGGGATGGAGGATACAGGCTGGGCCTCCCTGTCCTCTCACCCTTCCTCTCAGCCTGAGCCCTCTGCCCAGACACCCACCCTTGTTTTTCCTCCAAGTACGCATCTATAGCCTGCCCCTCCTAAGAAGCCAGCCAGCCTGGGGGTGGCAGAGAAATAAATAGCATTTCTGATGTTCCCCTGTGTCTGCCTGGAGTTTTGTCTGGATCTAAGAGTCCCTCCTGGGGGTTAGGATCAGGAGTCACAGAGTAAGGATAGCCACATTTATGTGCCCACATAGGACATGGGTCTATGGGACATAACATGAACTTCGTGGCAGGCAGCATGGTTAGGGGTGGCCCAGTGGTGAGAGAAGGCAGGGCCTTGGCTTGAGCTGGGTGCAGATGTTCCCTGCCTACAAACTACCCCACAGGGCAAATCAGGGTGGGAGCCTGACAATCATTAGAGAGACTTTCCTGGGGTCACTAGTGACCCTGATTAGTGCTTTACACTGAAGTGAACTGAGGCATTTTGGAAATGGGCAAGGCAATGGGAGGGCCTGGGTTGTGGCTCCACTTCCCTGTCCTGCTTTCTGGAAGAAATATTAGAAGCAAAGTGGAAAAGGGGGACAAGAGGGGCAAGAAGGAGGAGAGACAAGAAGGGAGGAGGCAGAGGACAAAAGGACAAGAGAGAGAAAAAACCCTAGAGAGACTGAGAACAGGAGAACAGACTGGAAAGGGAGCCAGAGAAAATGAATGGGGCTTGCCTTCCCCCTTTCCAGGAAGAGGAGATAGCATTCCCAGAGGTCTCTGTAGGAAATTCTCCCTTCCGGGTCGATGTGTCAGTAACTGACCTGGGGTGGGATGGGGGTGGGGACTGGTTACAACTGGTGGGGTCTCTTAGAATGGGGAAATGTGGGTGTGGACCCTGGACACTTGGCAGAACCTCATATCTGCACCAGGTCAGAGATATCTCCCTACAGTCTCCATTCTGTCATTTTCAAGAATGAGGACACTGTGCACAGGGACAATGACCCAGAGGGGGAGGCTCTGCAGCCTCTGCTCGGAGCTCCCAGGACTGCTGAGCTCAGCAAAGTGAAGGAGGCCGAGGGGTCTGGGGTAGCAGCTGTAAGCCCTGGCAGTTGGCCAGCCCCTCCCCTGCCTCCTGGTCTACATACAGGGCCACCCCCTCTTCCCTTGTCCTCCATTAGCTTGCAGCTCTGACTGAGCTGATGTCTCCAGCAGGCAGGGATGACTCCATGTCTGGTGGAAAGCAGCAGGATGGAGCCAGATCCCACGTGCAGTGCCACCTTGGGTAAGTCATTGCCCATCTCTGGTCTTCAGTTGCCTCAGAAATCAAATGACAGGTAGAACTGAAAGGGTAAGGCAGATACTGCTTCGGGGCTCAACGGACTAGTTATCTAAGGCTTGACCATCCTAACTGCACTTGGACCCTGCCATCTCTGGGGCTTGGCTTCTTGAAACAGGAGGTGGATGTACATCCCAAGTCAGGGAAGCCTGGGAACAATTGTGCCAAGTGCTACTCCCCTGCTTTAAAGTCTTCCATGGCTCCCACTACCCTGGAGGAAGCCTGAATTACCAGCCTCTGCACCTTTACTTGTACTGTCCCCAGCCTGTGCACTATTTCCCTGTTCTTCATTTGGCTAAGCCATACTTTAGGATGCAGCTTGGGCACCTTCAGAAAGCCTATCAGGATGCCTCCTGTCCCCAGTGTGCAGTAGCCCCCTTCTTTGCTCACAGCTCCGGCTAATCACAGTCCATTGTAACTCTGTCTCCTCGTTAAGAGCAAAGGCTAAATCTGAGTCCTTATCTCTGTGACTGTGTCCATGGCTAACAGAGGACCAGGAAAGCATTTTCCAGGGGTCAGCGCATGCCCTCTTTAGCCTCCCTGGGCAGCCTGGAAAGTGGTTTGGAGCTCCCCAGCCCCACCTCAGCTTTGTGAGTTTGAAGCATAGTGGGGGCAGGAACAGGTGTGGGGTGGGGGGTTGCCAGTCTAATTGCACAGACCACAGACACTTCTTGAGGCCTGATGCCCCAGGTCTGTGCAGTGGCCATACTATCCCTGTAGCCCCCAGCCCATGGTAGACCACACCCAGGGCTTCTCCCTTATTCAAGCATCCTCCACCTCACCAAGCCCCAGCAGGGAAGGGTCTCCAGTTGGTCTCAATACCCTTCCACTCTGCATACTTGGTCTACCCATCACCCCACAGCACAGCACCCCTGTCCCACCCCCATGCCCTTGTTCATCTTGCTTCTCCATCATTCTTGAAACCCCTCCTGCCCCACCAACCCTGCCCATCCTTTAAGACTCAGAAGTTCAACATGTACTTGCTTGGGAGTGGCATCATAGGGTCCAGTCTTCATCCCCCAAAGGGATGAAGCTATGGGGTCTCTCTGCCCCCACCTCCAGCCCAACCCTGCACATAGCCAGATACCCCAACTCATCAGAGTCCCATAGACACACAGTGTGGATTGACTGACTGTGTGGGCAGGGTTCCCCTGCGTCCCCTCTCCCATAAGGAGGGCTGTTTCTCAGGGACAAGTTTATTACCAGGAACACACTAACCTCTTTCATAATAGCTAAAAGCATAAAAACTACAAAAATATCTGGCTCTCAGGAGTGGGCAGCTCAGGGTGGGGCCAGGGCTGTGACTTCACCGCCAGTCAGGAGCCCACGTCTTCCTCATGGGCTTCCTTGCAGGCCCCACAGCTGGGGAACCTTCAAGCCACTCCCGGAGGAGAGGAGAGGGGAGAGCTGGGGGAGAGGGAGCGCTCTGGCAACCAGGGAGGGCCAACACTGAGGTGGGGCTGAGCTGGAATGCAGGGCTTTCCTGGCCCTGAATCACGGAGCCTGTTCAGAAGAGGCCTCAGTGAGGCCCTGCAAGGTTGGTGGCAGAGCCAGGGTGGGGAGGGGCTTGGATGTGGTCACCCTGCTCCACTGGCTCCTGGACCAACCCTAACCCTCACCCCCACCCCAGTTGCTTTCTCCAGAGTCCTCTCTACAATTCCCAAGACCAAAGGGGCAGAGGAGAATTCTTCCAAGGCTCGTAGGAGGGACAAACCTTCATTCAACCTCAGTGACCCCAGGCCTCAGCTAGTCACTGGGACCTTGATCCCAAGAACCTGCTGGCTAAGCTGCTGCTAAGGGGAGGGGCTGCCATGGTTGGGGTGGTGTGCAGAGAACGGGGGAGGAGGGTAGATGGGCACGTGCCTCAACACACAGGGCAAGCAGGCTGCCTTCCTTGCCCTCAGGCCTGAGCACCATTGGCCTGGGCACCTGAGAGAGCTTTCTTCCGGAAGGCCTGCAGGGCTGGGTTGTTTAGTAGCGTGTAGGCCAGACCCCAGCGGGCCCTGTTCCGGCTGGCTCTAGGCCCCGTTTCCTTGGCCATAGGGTCCTTTGTCTGGAGCAACTGCAACCCTGAGAGGGAGAGAGACCTTCTGTGAATAATTCTGACCCTCAGCCAAGTGTCCCCAGGCCCCAGACTACATATCCCAGAGAGTCTGCAAATCCCGTGTATAGTAAGGTGTTGAGCCTGGGGTTCCAGCTGCCAGCTCAGAGTGGGAAATCGGAAGAAGCTGGGCTTGGGGTGGGGGTGAAGGTTCAGGATGTGCACCCGCAGCTGGCGGACAGAAGCAGGAGGAGCTGAGGTCAGTGGAGGGACCAGAGGCAAGGCCAACACAAGGGCACAGAGCTGGCTTAGTGTCCCCTCCTATTACACACTTCCTGGGCAGTAGGGAAGGAAAGGCCTCACACTTCCTGGGGAAAGACAGGAGGTAATGGGGGGGGCACAACTGAGCCCCTTAGCAAGGCAGCCATTTCCTTCTCTGTGTGCACAGAGAAGGTGTGTATGTGTGTGTGTGTGTGTGTGTGTGTGTGTGTGTGTGTGTGTACATTTGTATCATGGGAAAAAATTATCATGAGACTGGACCAGGATGGGGGATCTCAGGCAGCCAAGGGAGAGGGGAGGTGACAATTTTCCTGGTGCTCACTATGCTGGCAGGGACATGCTGAGCTGGGCAGGCTGGGCTCCCATCCCCAGTGGGAGAGCGCACCTTCTTCTTCCTCCCCAGTTCTGAGATTTCCCTTGGGGTCCACTGGAGCCTGGAGGCAAGGACTCCGAGCTGCAAGGAGCAGCGTGCAGAAGGCCGTCACAGCAGGATGCGACTGGCTGGCCTCCAGCTTCAGGAAGTTTCTGTATGTGCAATAGCCTGGGGTGGGGAGGGGGATGGCAGTGCTTGGCAGGAGGGGCCAGTGGCCGACTAGAGGCACCTAGACACCCCTGACACACACAAGGACACACATGCGTCCAAGCCTGCAGACACACAGGGCCATGGCACATATGCTGCACACGGACACGCGTGGACCCATGGAACATGCCATAGGTGCTGCACACCCTCAGACCCCAGCAGTACATAGAATGCATGATGCTCATGGTCATGATCATCCTCCATGAACATATCTGCTGGAGGGCCAGGGGGGGCAGACCCCCTCCTACACTGTGTAGGCCCCCAGCCCCTGCCCAACGATCTTACCAGGGTCCAGAGTGGCAGCTCGTGATGACAGCAGACTGAGGTCCATCTGACTTAGGTGGACGGTGTTATAGAGGGCAGAGAGGGACATTCGCCAGGTGGCCACCACCCCACCCATCAGCATGTTGATGGGAAAGAGGAGAAAGGTGGCTGCATAGAGTGCTCTCCTGGGGCAGGGAGGAGAAAGGCTGAGGCAGGCTTCCCAGAGCCCCCTCCCAGGACCAGTGTCACACCTAGAGGCCCACAGCAGCTGTGTTTATTGAGCGCCTACTGTTTGTTAAGTATGCCTTCTGAGTGACATGCTCTATGCTGGGCCTTCCCTCTCAACCCACCACCCTGGAAGACAGGTGGTATCACTCTCTTCTTTGGGAGGGAAACTGAGGCCCAGAGAACCTGGTGACTTATTCAAGTCTATCTAGTTACTCGTTGGACGGGCTGGGATTTTAGTCCATGTCTATCTGGGTCTTTCCATGAACCCAGTGCCTTCTGTCTCCTCCTCTGATTTCCCTATCCACTAATTCAAATTCCCTTGTGGGGTCAAGGTTTCCCCACAACTCTGCCATCTGACACAGAACTTTTTTCCTGCAAAGTGAGAAGATGTAGGGTTTGGGGGCAACGAGGATCCAGGGAGGAGTGTAGATCCCACAGACAAAAAGGGATCCTGGGGCTAATTTATGCCTCACGTGATATAGAGAAAGATATCTTGGAATGTCTCTGTAGGTAAGGCAAGCTCTTTCTTCTACCTACTGGGTAGGAGACACTGAAGAAGAGGCTGAGGGCCCTAGGGAACCACAAGCTCAGAGACCACCTTACCGGTTAGTCAGTTCTGGGTATCCATGGTTAGTCTTCAGGAAGACCCAGTGGGCTGCTATGTTCTGCAGGGTCACAGCTAGGATCAGAGTCAGCCAGAAGGGCCTGCAGGTGGATTAGGGAGGGTGGTTGCTGTTAACAGCCCTCTATAAAAGGGTTCCAGAGCCCTCCACTCCTTGCCTCACTCACCACGAGGACCCCAGGGATCGTAGGAAGAAGAGGTTCCTGCCATGCAACACAGGCACAAACACCAGGAAGGCAAGGACTGTAGTCCCCAGGAAGAAGATGATCTGCTGTACCAGGAGCCCTGCAGGGATCGGGAGCAACAAGAGGATAGATACCAAGTTATTTGGGAACTGGTGCACCTCTGCTTCCCTCAGGAATCCAAGAGCTTTGGATTCAAGGGCTGACCTGGTTTCAATCCCTACTCTTCTACTGCCTAGCTGTGTTGCCCTGAGCAAGTTACATTACATCTCTGAGCTGTGGTTCTTCCTCTGCAAAATGGTGATCGTAGTCCCTACCTCAGAGGGCTATTGTGTGATCCAAAGAGATTGAATCAGTGGCAACTCTTTGAAACCAAAGTGCTTTGCAAGCATCATTTTTCCCCACTTGCTCCTAAGTTCCTGGGGACAAGACCCCTCTGTAAATCAGGGTTGCATTCCTACCAGCCAGAGCCTGGTGTATCGTAGGTACCTAAGAGTTGTCTGTGGAAACAACCAGACCAATTGATCACATGATATAATGCGTACAAAAGGGTTTGGCAAGCCAGGCATGGTGGCACTCGCCTGTAACCCCAGCTGCTCCAAAGGCTGAGGCAGGAGGGTCACAAGTTCAAGGCCAACCTGGACAACTTGCCTCGACTGTCTCAAAATAAAAAATAAAATAAAATAAAAAGAACTGTGATGTCTCTTAGAAGTAGAGCACCCTGGGGTTCAATCTCTAGTTGGAAAAAGGAAGAAAAAAAACAAAAAGACTTGGCAGAAATCATGACTTTTCATCCCCGTAATTCCTCTCCATTATCAACGTCTTTCTCCTCCTCCAAGGAAGGGAGAACCAATGTAACCTTGGATTTACAGCCTTGGTCCCAGCCCCATAAGTCAGGATGCTTTACCAGCTGCAGGAACCCTTTTGCCATCCCCAACAGTATCCATGGAATCCTGCTTTCATACTTGTGGTGACAGGCTCCCTTTACCTTCCAAGGCAGCCCAGTGCAGCACAGCCCTCCCTTACAGGAGCTGCAATGTGCCACTTTGAACTTGCCACCTCCAGATCTGGGTATACACCTGCGCGTAAACACCTGGTGGCACCCAGGGTTAGTCTTCATGTGAAGGGTACCCTTCTCCCAGTGCTCCTTAATGCTCTTACTCTGGAGCATGCTTCCCTCCACCACCACAGGGACCAAGGTCTGGGCTGGGGGAGGGGAAGGGGGCTCACCGAAGCAGGTAAAGGCAGTGTGGTAGGCGCTGAAGCTCATCCAACAGAATATGGCCTTGCGGGATGGTCGAGTGCTCTGGAGTGGGGGGCCCAGGTCCAAGGCAGCCCCTCTGTGCAAAGCTTGAAGGTTGGCCCTGGGGTGTGAGCAAGGGGGGCAGTACCCTCAGGGAGGAAGACACTCCCAGGTGCCCCTGGGCACTCTCTGGCCAAACCCCTAGCCTAATTAAAACCCTCAGCAAGGACCCTCAGAGCCCTGAGGCCACTAACTCAAGCTGGCAGGTCTTCCTGGAAGAGGTGACATCCTGGGAGCCTTACAGGGTGACTAAGGAGACAAAATCAAGCAGAGGTTCAACCTGAGCTATGTCGGGATAGTGGGAACCAACAGTGAGAATGGAGGTGACACGCGACTTGGGCAGCATGCGGGCAAGCATTCTTGTGGAACCTTGAAGGCCAGGGTCAGAGGGGCCAATCCTGTGGGAAAGAGCCCTGGACAGGGTCTCTGAGGGCTGTCAAGTGCACAGAGCACGGGGGCCAGTTCTCTGCCATGATGAGCTCCTGCCTCCCTTCCCACAAGGCCTGTTCCCACCCAGAACTCAGAATGCCTCAAGCTCACCACAAAAGGGCAAGGTGGGCAGTTTGGCATTCAAATTCCAGAACAACGCCTCCAGTCCCCTACCCCTGCCAGACCACCCTTCACGCTGTCAGGTGCACCCACTTCTCTACTTACTTGGGGTGTGGGTACCAGAGATTGAACTCAGGGGCACTTGAGCACTGAGCCATATCCCCAGCCCTATTTTGTACTTTCTTTAAAGTCAGGGTCTCACTGAGTTAACTTAGCGCTCTCTGCTGCTGAGGCTGGCTTTGAACTTGTGATCTTCCTGGCTCAGCCTCCCCAAGCAGCTGGGATTGCAGGCGGGCGCCACCATGCCCAGCTCTCATGCTCTCAAGAGGTTCCTCTGGCCTGTAGCACTCTCAGTCCCTTGCCACCTACCTCTTCTTCCACTCTTAGGTAGAATGCCAGCTGCCCAGATGGCCTCCCTATTGAATTCAGCTCTCTGGGGTGGCCCCTTCTCAGAGGTACCCTCTCCTTTCAGTCATGCCCCATTTTCCTTGCAGGTATTTCCCCAACCAGACAGCGGTCTCAGAAGGCAGCCCCAGGGCCTACCTCTCCACCCACTACCATGGAGTCTCCAGGGCCTTCCCTCCCTGCAGCCCCAGGGCTTCCAGACACACCTGCTTGGGTCTCTGGCCCTTTCCCACTTCTGCACAGGGTTAGTCAGAGCTGCCACAAACCTGTGAGTTGTCAGCGAGCGGATCAGGAGCAGGAGGGTGAGTATGCAAGACAGGACCAAGGCCGAGATGTAGCAAGCTGGAGGGGGAAAGGGGGCACAGTGGGAGATTGGGTCCTGGAGGATCACTGGGGAGCCTCCGACCCTTGCCAGGATGGGACCCTGGCCCCCATCCCCCTCCGAATGGAGTCTTCTTGGTCCTGTCCCTATCTTTCAAGGGATTCCACCAACCAGGCTCCTGCCTCCAGCCCCACCACTTCTTGGCTGTGGGAACTTCAGGGGGACACCTCACCCCTGAGCCTTGCTTTGTTCGTGTGCACCTCCCAGGCACATTGTTGCTCCTGGGATAACTCAATGACCACAATCCCCGCCCCTACCTGACCAATGGCTTTTGTTCATGGCACAGAGGATGTGAGTCCATGGCAGTATGCCAAGTCTATAAGGACAAGGAAGGTGGCCCTGCCACCCATCTTGGGGGTGTGGCCCCACCTCTCAGCTCCTTCACCCCAACCCCGGCCATGCACGCAGGTAACGAGATTGCTAGAAAAAGAGCTGGGAAAAAGTGGAGGGTGTGTCGTGAACAAATACTGAAGACTATCAGGATGCAATCTTCCCACCCTCCATCCACAGACATCCTCACCCTGGATCCTCGAAGCAACCCCAGGAGGTCAGACACAGGAATTGTTCCCAGGAGGCCAAAGAGGAAACAAGGTCAGAGAGGGGGCTTAACACAGCCAACCCCACCACCAGGTATGGTAAGTGCAGCCCTCCACTAGATCCAGAAGGACCCAGGTTGCCTGCACTCTGAGCTTGTAAGTCAGCCCAGAGAAGTGTCCCCGGTTCTTGTGTTTCCACCTGGAAAGGTGACAGCAAACACATGAGTAAGGCAAGCACCCGATCCATATAGCCAGAGATGTGGGGGGAGTGGGTCTCAGCACTGGCAGCACATTGGGGTAACCTGGAGCTGCCCGAACTCCCCACTGCCTGGGCTGTCTCCAGACCAGTTAAAATCAGAGTTTCTGTGGGGCAGACCCAGCATTGATGCTGGGAAGGCAACCAGGATTCCAGTGTGCAGCCAGGCCGAGCAGCACTGGTCTGCAGGTAGAGCCTTTAGGAGTTACTTCTGAGACAGGAAGGGAGATCTCCCTCAGGCAGATAGGATAAGGCCTTGGGAGAAGGACTGGAGGGGAGAGGGAAGGGTTACCCACCATGCCTTCTTCTGCAGTAGAATGCTTGTCTCTGCCCTTCCTTTGTTACCCTTGCCCTTATCCCTAGCAACAGCTGACCATGAGCAGACCCCTACCCCAAATGCTTCCCCTTCCTAAAAGATGTGTCAGAATCCCGGGTGAGACCTGTCCTCTTTAATAATGTAAATAAGGGACTGAAATTATACACTCCTGTTTGGCTTATTAAACTCAGGATTTAGAGAGCTTGATTGGTCTATACTGCACCCCTGACCCCACCAATCACCTGTGCCAGGCCATTAGATATGCCTTTAAAAACCCTGAGACAACACACCCATTGGCATCCCTCTCTTGGGGACCCTCCCCTCTGGAAGGCTCTGCTTTTTTCCTTCTCCTCCTCCTCCTCCTCTTCCTCCTCCTCCTCAGGAATTGAACCCAGGTGTACTTAACCACTGAGCCACACCCCCAGCCCTTTTTGTATTTTATTTAGAGACAGGGCCTCACTAAGTTGCTTAAGGCCTTGCTAAATTCCTGAGGCTGGCTTTGAACTTGTGATCCTCCTGCCTCAGCCTCTGGAGTCACTGGGATTACAGGCATGCGCCATCACTCCTGGCCCTCTTTCTATTACTCTAATAAATCCTGTTACTTTACTCTCACCCTGGTGTCTGTGGATTTCATTCCTCGAATTCATGAGACATAGAACTCAACTGCCTGGATCCAGTGTGACACTTCCAATTAATTGGAACCAATCAACCAAGCAATACTTAACAGTGCCTCCTATAGGGGTTCTCAAACTTTTGCTTGTGTTACAATTATTGGGTGGGGTGAATCATAGATGCCCGGCCCCACCTTCAGAGTCTCCAATTCAGTAGATCTGGGGTGGTGACTTCAAATCTAGAAAACCTTTTTTTTTACATTTATTTTGTTTATTTATTTTATGTGGTGCTGAGGATCGAACCCAAGGCCTCACACATGCTAGGCGAGCACTCTATAGCTGAGCCACAACCCCAGCCCCAAATCTGGGAAACTTTAAAAAAAGTTATCAAATATTCTCATATACAGCTAGGACTGAGAACAACTCTTACAAAAACAGGAGCCTCTTTGCCTGTCCCTAGCTTCCCCCTGTAATACCCTCAGGGATACTTTTCTGCAAAGTATGATTGAGAGATAATGCTGGGCATGCACAGCTCCAGCCTGCTGCATTGCCCCTTTTGGAGCCAACTGAGCACCAGGCAAGGGGCATTCTGGACCACTTGCTGCCAGGAGGAAGGAACCTGCCAGCCGAGCCTCATCAAGTGAATGAACAGGCTAACGGAGAGGAAGGGTTGGCAAAGCTGGGTTGGCCATTTATCTCCATCTGTCCACCTGCTGTTTCTCTCTCTCTCCCTCCAATGGCTCCAGACTTGGGTTGCTCCAAACCCTGGCACCCAGAAAATTTTCCTTCTTTTTGCGGCTGCTGGGATCCTGCACCTGCCCCCTCTAGACACTCCTTGTGGACAGATCCACCTTCCTCAACCAATCAAGGGCCTCCTAGACAGGGGTGCCCTTTTAACCTCAGCATCCATATTGCAGGTAAGGAAGTCAAAGCCAGGAGAGGCAAAGCAGCTTGTCCAAGGTCCCACAGTTTGTAATCGATGGAACTGAGAGTATAATCTGGCCTGCCTGACCCAGGGTCTAAGCTTTCTGGAAAACAATGCCAGAGTTATGGCCCAGGCACCAATGGGCAGCCCCAACACAAGAGCTCAGAAGACATTAGCTTTTTAGCTTAAGAACAGACCAAAGGATGCTGGGTGCAGTGGCATAAGCATGTAATCCCAGTGGCTCAGGAGGCTGAGGCAGGAGGATCATGGGTTCAAAGTCAGCCTTAGCAACTTAGTGAGGCCCTGTCTCTAAATATAAAAAAGAGCTGGGGGTGTGGCTCAGTGGTGGAGTGCACCTGGGTTCAATTCCCGGTACAAAAGAAAAACAGACCAAAGGCTCCAAGCCCAGCTCTAACCTCAGTTCCACAACTAGATTGCTAAATGGCTTTGGGCATATCTCTAATCCCTCCCGGGCCTCGATTTTCCTTATCCTTAAACTAGGAGAGTAAATGCTGCTTTGTTTGGCCCCCACTTCCAAAAAGATCCAAAGGGAGTATTTGAGCCTAGAAACTGGAACATACAACTGTAAATGCAAGGTGTGGTAAGAAGACTCACTACCCTGGGCGCTTTACTTCTTGCCCGAGAGCCTCAGTTTCCTGTTCTATGAACCAGGATCACTCATGCTGATCTAACAAGGCCACGGCAAGTAAGGATCAGAGCTTGGATGTGGGCATAGCTAGGCCACATCTGTTCCTCCCTGTGACCCAGGTCACAGCCCTCTTCAAACCTGTCATCTGTCCAGCTTGTGGACCTCAGCAGCAGTTCCCAAGCAGCCTCCAGTGTGGGAGCTGAAGCCTTCAGGCATGTGGTGGGAAGGGTGGGCAGGGAAGGAGGAGGTCACTGGGCACACCTCTGCCTCTTCCCCACACTACACCCCACTTCCTGCCATTTGGCATTGCCAGCTTGCCTTGGTCTGTGGGACAGGATGATATTCATGGTCGGGAAAGCTGCAGAGCAGCCTACAATGCTGGCAGCCTCTGCTCCAACTACCACGGGTTACTCCCCAGAAGCCAGGGTGCCCATTATTGAGGGGCCCTCAAATGAGCCAAGGGGGTAGGCCCTAGGACTCTTGATCTCCAGACTTATCTCATGGTGATGGAAAGAGCCCCTGAGCTCTAGGCGACCTGGCTCCACTCTGCCCTGCTGCACAGCCGTAGGCCAGCCTTTCTTCATGTGCCCAGTGGAGACTATGTGGGGAAGCCTGGGAGGTGCGGTGAGGGCCTGGGAGGTGGGGTGGGGAGGTAACTGCAGGAATAGGACTCCAGGTGGCATCTACCATTCCCTGGCTTGGGGGTCTCATTTCAGGGGAGGCAAGGAGAGGAGATGGCCTGAGCAGACAGGGACTGGGAGAGAAAACGGGTGCCCTGCCCAACCCCATCCCCTGGCATGGGTTAGCCCAGAAATCCTGGCCCACTGCCCCATATCACTGCCTCATTTCCTCCCTCCCCTCCCTCAGCTCACACTTGCCAGCCTTCTCTGTCACCACACCTGCAGAGTGGGTCAAAGACCCAGGAGCTGGGGGCAGGGGCAGGGGGCTGCTGAGACAGGTCTCTTTAAGTCTCAGAAGCTTGGCACTGGAAACTTCAACTGTCCCCACTTGGAGACAAGGCAGTGGAGGCCTAGAGAGGGGAAGGAAGGTGTCCAAGGACCCCCAGGATGTCTGTGGCAGGCTGGGACCCCATCCTGGCTCCTGGCCCCTCTGTGGCTTCGGGGCTCCTGAGGAGGGGAGACTCACCTTCCAGAGCCCACAGATGGTGTTTCACTAGCTCCACCACCTCCTGCCTGTCCTCGGAGAGCACGATCCCAAAGCCAGCCAGCAAGTAGGAGACATCCGTGGTGATACCTGCCCTCACCTTCTGCATGGTAGGAACCACGCTCACCAGCAACAGCAGGGCCACCTGAGAAGGCCCCACAGTGAGGATGCCAAGGCCTGGCTGTGCTCACACCTGGAATCCCACCCAGGAAGTGTTTCCTGTGCAAGCAAGGGGACTTCAGAGGGGACCGTGGCAGCAGGCTAGCTACAGCACATGCCTGGAGACCATCAGAGTATCCTATCCACACCTTAGAGCCGGGGCCGCACCCCTCTACACAGTATGTATCGGACACCTCAGTGGCCTGGCAGGTCCCCCAGGAAGCATAATGCATCCCTACACCTCTGCCTGTCTATTACCTATCAATCTAGGGCCTTTATATTCTAAACTTTAGAATATAAAATTTCTAATTTTTTCATGTTGGGCAAAGCAATGAGCATTGACATTTCATCTAGAAATACCCAGATTCAGATTTTAGCAACTCTGAGATAAATTAGCTGTAGGAATTTGACCGAGTCAAAGTCTCTGAGCCTCAACTTCCCCTATCTACAAAATGGAGAGAAATCATACCTACCTTCCAGGATTTTGTTTTGGGTTTTTTGCGGGGTGAGTGGGGCTGGTGGTGGTGGATTCATCAAATATATGGTCTCACTGAATTTTCTCAACTAACCAAAGAGGAAAATGATTCTATTTCTTCCATTTTATAAATGAAGTAACAGACTCAGAGAGGTTGAATGGCTTGTTCAAGGTCACACAGGAGGCAAATAATGGAGGTAGGATTTAAATCCATTTTTATGTGACTCCAAAACTCATGCTCTGAGTTGCTATACGAGCCCAATAAGGGCTGACACCCTGCTCTTCTGGGCCAGCATTCCCAAGATGGCCAGAAGCAGCTGGACAGGACCATGGGTGGGGCATTTGAAGAGCTGAGTTGGGCCTGAGCTATTCCAGGATTGGGGATTCAAGGGTCACTACAAGGTATAGGACATACCTGGTAAATGGCTGTCCCTGTCAAGGTGGCTGAGATCACTAACTTCAAGGGGAGGCGGAATCCTGCAGAATCCAAAAAAAGGGGTATGGTGAACAGCACCACTAGCTGTTCCCATCCCTCCCAAGGAGCCCAGGAAAAGGGACGGAGCTCACAAGACCCTGGGCCACCAAGGCCAGGCCAGGATCTTCCCCTTGTCCCAAGCTGGCAGTTGTTTCTCCTGGTGACAAGGGAGCAGGGGAGCAGGAGCCAGCCCTCCACTGCTGCTTCTGGGCAAAGAGAAGTGAGGACACCTGTCACTCGGCGTCAGACGCTCGGTACCTGGCTGTGGAGTGTAGGTGTAGCGTTGGCAGCAGCTCCAGGCCCGGGACAGGAAGCCATGCTTGGAGGTAGGACAGGAGCTGCAAAGACCCAGGCAGGCAGGGGAGGCCCCAGGTAAAGCCCCAGCCCCAAGACCAAGCTGCAGAGCCTGGTCACTCCTCACCTCTGTCCCCACTGTGCACCAGCCTCCCAAACATGGCTGCTCAGCAGCCCTGCCCGCCATTCTGCTTGCCTGGGACCTCACCGGCTTTCCTGCTTCTTTTGGCAAAGAAGACTCCTCAGATACTCCTCAGAGCGGCTGCTCTGCAGCCCCTGTGGAGACAGGGAAGTGGGGAGCAGATGAGATCTGCCTTGAGCCATCCCGGGGGCCCTGGCTTAGGGCACCAGAGTGGACACCATGTAGGTCCCCATAAATGCCTGGCTGTGGTGGTGATAGTGGAGTGTGGAGAGGATGACCTGTGACCTAGGGGAACAAGGTCCATGACCTGCAAAAGTGTCCTCTTTTCCTGGCAAGGAATTCTCCCCTCAATGCTGTTCTTCCTACACTCTAACTCCAACTCTTCTGCTTTACTCACTGCTTCCCTTCCCCCACCCCAGCAACTGGAGTAAAGGAAAGCCTGTGTCCCTAGGGCCCATCTCTGCCCAGAACTTAGGATGAGGCCATTCCAGGGCAGATCCCTCAGGCTTCTCCTCCCACTCAAGGGACATCACAAGGGTGATCAGATTTGCCTAAGCCACATTCCAGGACTTAAGCCGCCTGCAAAGTGGCAGAAGCCCATGGGAGCATGAGGTTAGCCACTGCCCCGGATCACTGGGAGAAAACAGGCCATGGTCACCTGTTACTATAGCAACCCCAGGACCTAGGGCTGGAGTGGGTCAGCTCAAAGCTTGACTGGGTCCTTTGTGGCTTAAATCTCTTTGACCAAAGTCCAAAGAGGATTTTCTTTCTTTCAAGCTTTGGCAGAGAGGTTTACATGGAGGGAGAGGAGAGAAGGGGCCCCCAACGGAGAGATGTTCCCCTGCCATGCAGAAGCCCAACCAAGATGCTGGGGCCATTGGGACCGGAGGGCTGCCCTGGCAAGCGGACCCACCTGGCCTCTCCTCACTCCCCATTCCTCCTCAGTCTTTCTATAATCTGCCTCTGCCCCTTTGAGGGCCTCTGGAGTGTTCGTTCCTTCTCCCATGTATAAGCCACTTGACCCCACCTATGCCTGCGTTCCAACATCAGCTGGAGGAGCCCCCTGCACATTTCACCCACACTGCACCCATCTCCCCCACATAGGGAAGCTCCTGGAGACCCAGCAAGGATCAGTCAGCTCGGAGGCCCTAGCAATTAACCCAAGGCCTGACATATACAAGGTGTTTCTTAAGAAGATTGCAATAGCTTTCAAGAATTCTCTCTCACAAGATGTATCTATCCATCCATTCAAAAATTCAAAAATGTTAGCTGAGTATCTATCTATTATATGCTACAACCTGCTCCATGCTGCCAGGGTAGACACGAACAAAATAGACACACACCCCTCAGTCCCCTTACTCATGCTCCGTAGTCTCTCCCCACTCCACATTTTCCTTGTCCTTCAGGCCTCTTGCTAAAATCCACCCCCTTCAAGAAGCCCTCCCAGACCTCTTCTGCATCTGACATCATCCAACAGTATCCAACATAGCACTGATCTATAATGCAGTTCTTCTCTGGATGCTTTGTGAGTCATTTCAGCATCTGTGGAACTCCCAGAAGGCTCAAGGCTCCTGGCCCATCTCAGTTCTCCAGATGGTTTCAAAGATGAAGCCAGAACTTCCTGTTTTCCCACCCAGTCATCCTTTGTTGAATTCCTGCTGTGCACACAGCCCAGTGCCCCAGGTACCCTGGGTGCTGATCAAAAGTGCAGCCACTAAGCGGTCACTCAGTGACTCAGAAAACATTTTCTGAGCACTTATTACATGCCTCATACCTATATATGGGGGAACCACAGACATGGGAGAGTCTGATGTGTTGGGTGCTAAGTAGAAACCAGCCCAGCCCTGCTCTATCCATTCACCTTGGAGCCTGCTCCTGTCCTGTGGGTGAAGCTTCGCACCAGTTGCACCGGGTACCATAGGCTCAGGAATCCAAGGCCCAGTAGAAGAGGCAGAGAGGCCAGCAGCGAGTAGTACTTGTAAATCTGGACAGATACACAGACACTCAGATAGACCTACCTTGTTCTTTCTTCCCCCACCAAGAACTAGAATCCGTTTCCCTCTCCACCTCAGATTGCCATGAGGATGCTCTGGAGGGCCATGAGAAGGCTTCCAGTTCTATGGGCCCCCAACTTGGGCCATGCTTCACCAACATGCCCACTTCACCTTTTCAGGCCCTGTACAGATCCTCCTGGGAGGAGCATCTGGCCTGGGAAGAGCCAAAGGACAGTTAATGGCCCTTGGTCCATCCCCATGGGCAGTGAGCCCTGAATGGAGGAAACCCACTCTCTAGGTTCCCATGTTCCAGGCATGTCAGGCAACAGGCCCCTGAAACAGGACAAAGGCCTAATTTCTTCAGTATGTAGTTGGCCACCTGGGCCTCAAGAAGCCCATGCTCTGCCTCCAGGGGCTGAGGCCTTTCTGGGTTGGGCTCCTCATGTATTCATTCATTTGTTGGTTAATTCAATGTCTTTTTATTGAGAACTTAGTGTGTGCCAGGCTCTAGGTAGTGAAAAAGACCCACCAAGTCCCTCCTCTCAAAGAAACCTCCTAATCTTCACCTATCCAAAGGATTGTGCTATCAACTCCATTTACAGGTGGGGAAACTGAGTCTCAGAGAGGTAACAGTTTCCTCAAGTCACCTGCTTATCTATTTATTGTGTCTTTCTTTCTAGAACAACAGCTCTGGAGTCCAGGGACTTGGCTTGTCTTGTTCATAGCTGTTCCAGTGCCTGGAGATACCCCTGTCCAGAGTATGTGCTTCAGATATGTTTGTTGAATGAGGAAGACTGGGCAGCTTCACAGTCCTGACCAGCAGCCAGGGAACCAGTTTCTGAGGTTCTGGAATTCTCTCTAGCCCCTGAAACTATCCCCTGACTGGGCACTTGCCATCCTCCATCTCTCTTCACTTCTGTTCCCACTCCAGCCCGACCTAGGGATTGATGGGGCGTTGCTGGCTTTCTCTTCTTCCTCTGCCCCCTCCTGTCCTGGAAGCTGCTGAGGGCAGGGCCCTGCTGCCTTGTCCCCTGTCCCACCCCTGGAAAAGCCAGTCTGGCACAGGCACATGTTGAAAGGTCTGGAATCCCGTGCATAACGGAAGGAGGCAGAGAAGCCCAGCGTGTAAGGAGAGATGAAAGGAGCCTCGCAGGTCGAAGTAGGTTCCTCCCGGGTATCCCCTGCCCCAGGCAGTGGTGAGTCAGTGGTTACCTTGGGCGTCTGGGGACACTCTGCCCTCTGCCAGACCTGGATGCTAAAGTGAGCCCAGGACAGTACGCTGCCAAGCAGGTATGCAACTCTGGGCCCGGCCACGGCACAGGCAGCCAAAGGGTAGTAGAGAACGGGATAATAGAGCAGGGCCAGAATCTTCCAGGACTCTGGAAGGCGAAAGAGGTGGAGAGACACGTGATGGGGGCTGACATGGGGCCTGAGTGGTGCCCACCCAGACCTTTCTCCCATCTCCATCTTCCAAGCCCTCAGCTGCTTCAGTGGGCAAGAGCTCAGAGCTCAAAGCCAGGCTCTGACTAGGCATCAGCTGTGATCTGGGGCGAGTTACTTCTTGGAGTCTTGGCTTCCCCTCTGTGAAATGGAAAGAATCACAGTCTAGCAACAAAAAGGAGATCTATGCACAGTGCTTAGCCCAGCACCTGAGTAAGTTCTTGAGGAATTAAGGTTGTACTTTGTTGTTGCTTCTTTCTCTCACTCTCAGTTCCCTCCACTGCAAAATGGGGCTCATGTCCAGACTTCGTGGGGTCTGCTGATCTAAAGAGGTCATGCCAAGGAGCAAAGGCTCCTCCCATTGACAACTGCTCTGGTTACCATCACCTCCTGAGCCAAGCTTAATACCCTTGGACCCCACCCTGCCCCATCCCATCAAGCCAGCCTCAGGCCACGGCTGCACTGGGTACCTGAGTTGGGCAGTGAGGCAAGGGTCAGGAAGGGCAACGGGTCCTCGTCAGAGAGCAGCAAACACAGGGAGCTGAAGAGGACCATGAAGACGGCAACAGGCACTGTCTGGGGTCTGTCCCCAGCCAAGAAATCCACAGGGCTGATACAAAGACAGGGAAGAACAGGTGGGCTTGCTCAGCCCCTGTACCCCCATTACCTCCAACTGTGTTCCATAAATAATGTGGTAGAGTCAGTCCCACCTCCCAGACAGGAAAACTGAGGAATGAGGCTTGTTTATTATTCATTCATTCTATAAATGTCTGTGAGTACCTCCCATCTACCAGCTCTGGGTGCTATGGCAAAGGACGTACACCCAGTGGGAGTAAGCACCAAATACCTCCACACTAACCGATTCGTCTGTCTGGGAGGGCAGATCTTTGGAGAACACAGTGAATCACTGCATCCTTGTAGACCAGCCCCGACCCTGGCTGGGTGTGGCCTAGGGTACAGGGCAGACAGCAGGCCCAGATGTCCTGGTTGTCAACCCTGTGGGCTCAGGGCCAGACCTTCTGTTTCTCTATTCCACCTTGCCCTCATGAGGCTCATCCTCTCTGAGCCCTCTCCCAGACCAGACAAACTCTGTCCTGAGTCAGCCAGAGACCTCAAGTGGCTCACCACAAAGCCAGCATAGCAGTACCCGTTTCAGTGTGCAACCCAGGTCTAGGGTACAAAGCTGTCTACATCCCGGTTCCACCCGCCACTTCCCCAACGCGTTGGTGTCTCCTACACCCGTCTGCCCAGTCCCATCTCCTCAGTGTCGTGCCTGCCCCAGACTCTGGGTTGCAGGGCTGAATGAGAAAGTTCCAACTGGAGGCCAGACCCTCAGAAATGACCTCCAGCTGGAGGCCAGACTCTCAGGGGAAATGATGGTCAAGACAGCATCAGGTGGCTGTGACCAGTCCAGACCCTGGGGCCTATGTGAGAGGACTTGTGTTCCCTGGAGACTTTTACCCCAATTTTGGCACAGCAGAAGCAAAGGGAGCTGGATGAGTCCCTCCCCTCCCTCTGGGGTTCCTAACTAACCTAGGAGACCTGGGTGGGGGTGGAGAAAGCCCAGACAGAGAAGTGGGGGTATCTCTGAAGTCAGAGTTGGCTTTTAGATACCCAACCAGTCACCTCCCCACCCAGAGGGCCCTGTCAGTCAGGCCCCCTGAGTGGAGGGATCCAGGTCCCAGGAACCAACCTGGGCAGTCTGGGCCTGCCATGCCCACAGCCAGGCCAGAGGCAGTGGCGCCTCACCAGCACGGCCAGCAGCAGCAGCACGAGGATCTGAAAGGAGAGTTCAGAAGATGCTTGGGGTGCCCAGGCTGTCCCCAAGGGTCTGAGTCTGAGTTCAGTTAGTCCCAGAACACCTCCCACTTACCCAGTACACCCTCATGTAGCATTTTGAGGAGTGGCCAAGAGGTGACAGAAGTCTGAAAGGTTGGATGTGGCCTGAATCCTAGTTTGGACCCCCACCTGGGCAAAACTCCCAGACCCCTCCCATGACTCCCAGATGCCCCTGCATCCACCCTAACAAGAGACACAAGTCCCTTTGCCAAGACTAGCAGCAGATTGCAAGCCAGATTGGACTCACCGACAGCGGGGCCAGGCAGGCATGGAACAGGCCAGGTGGCACACTGGGGTCACAGGAAGGCACAGCCCTACAGAGCAAAGGAAGGTTGGCTCAGGCCTGGCAAGACCCCATCAGTGTGCAGCTGGGCCTGGGGTTGGAGGCTGTCTACACTGAGGCTCCACCTAGAACTTTCCTCCACCTTCTGCTCCCCCCATGGTATGCCAGCTGGGTGCTAAGCTCTGGAGAGACAGAGCAAGAGTCAGGAGGCTCCCGGGAGGAAACAGCGGGCACCAGTTCATCCAGAGCATCTTTCTTGCTCACCTCGATGCTTCCAATCCGGAGGCTCTCTTCCTCCCTCCTCCTCCAGGAAGACTCCATGACTGTTCCTGGCACCACAGACCTCTTCTCAGAATAGAGATTGGGCCTGCTACGTGGATCAGACACTTCATTGCTATGATTTGCTCTCTACTTCCTAGTACCTCGGGTTGACTGGAAGGATCTTTCCTGGTAACCCTCTTTTCCTGTCAGCTGGCAGGTTGCTGGCTGCACAAGTTTGCTCAGCCACAGAATTGAGTGTGACGGGAAGTCCAGGCCACACTGCCCCTCCACTCCCTGAACCTACAGAGCTGAATACAGCTAAATGGGGGCCATTTATCTAACCATCACAAAGGCTCCCTCTGGTTTGGCAGAGGTCTTGCTCTCAGCGTAGCTGTGCACAGAGGGAAGCCTGTGGTGACAATAAAGAGATCAGTGAAGTCAACAGAGAAAGCAGGTAGGGCAAGAGCTCTGAGCTAGAGTTGAAGCTGGAGATGGATCCCTGGATCAAGGTGGCCTCCAGGTAGCCCAGCTGGAGCCTGGGAGCCAGAGGGAGGACACTTGAGTGGATGCTCTAGGAGGACTGGTTACAAGGGCTGTCCCTGTTCAGAAAGCTCAGGTACCTTCCTGCTGCACAGAAGAGAGGACCAAGGCCTCCTCATCTCCTGGGGTGAGTGCAGAGCCCTGGGACCCTCTGAGGGGCGCCTCCTCTCTCCAGCTTGCTTTCTTTCAGGAAATTCCAGAGGGCAAGCAGTGGAAAAGAAACTGGTCCTTGGGCTTGTCCCTGGGGTGTGGGGACTGAAGAAGTCTGTTCTTTGCCACTTCTTGCCTAGGGCAGAGATGGCATCTTCCCAAAACACGGGTTGAGGTGGGCCAGGTAGGGAATCAGGTTCTCATCCCTCAGCTGGACCTTGATCTCTCCTCTCCCACCTCTTCCTTGGCACACTCACGTGTGGGGGTGGGCTTGGGCCAGCCAGGACAGAGACCGGGCACACTGTCCTGGAGCAGCATTGCCATTTTCCAGCAAACCCCGCCCCCAAATGAGGAGCCACCTCCACCCTGGGAATCCCCTCCAGGGCACTGTCTGGGAGAACATCTGGCCTTTTCTGTATCCTCTGAGGTCCCCATGACCCCTCATTCAAATTCCAAGTGCCACACATGTGACAGGCAGCAGTCCCCACCACCTTAGCACACATTTGGGTGATGGCTTGAGGACTGTGTTTTGTGCCATGGGAAGGCAGGATGACACAGACATCACACGGGAGTCATATGGGGAGGTGGGAAGCTCCATGCTTAGAGAGGCCACAGAAATGGGGTTGGATTTGAGTTTGAAATCTGGTTAACAGCTTTTTAGGCAAAGAAGGGAAAAGGAAGCTCTGTTGAAAGGACAGCCTGAGGAAGCAGTGTCAGGCAGCCAGGGTGTGACTGGCCCCAGGCTAGTCTTTCAGTTTGTTGGCAGCCCAGAAGGTAAGACCAGGTTAGAGCAGGCACAGGAGGCCCTGGGAAGCCACTGAGGGTGTCTGGAGCTTAGGATATTTCTGAGGCTAAGTCCATCCAGGCCACTGTCACCAGTGCCCACCAATCCCAACTCTAGCCTGATGTGTTGGTCACAGTGAGGGCACAGGGGAGCTGCCATCAGAGCTCCTCATGGCTTTCATGTACCATATCCCTGGGGTGTGACTCACGCCTGGAGAGGTGAATCCAAGTTCATCTCCATGGGATTTCCCTGTGCCCAGCTTCCCGCTCCCAGCTTTCAGGGTAGGGGGGTGGGGGTGGGGAAGGGAGATGGAAAATATCTAGACTTGCTTTTACTGCATAAGTAGATTCAAATACTCTTCTTTATTTTTAAAGGTTCCATGTTTGACCGTGGGAGAAGGGAGCTACAAATCCCAAGTGCCAAACATGTGACAGGCAGCAGTCCCCATCACCCAGTCCCTACCATGCCGGGACTTTATTCTGAGACTGTATCTAAATACTGCCAAGCACCGTACTGGTTGCAGGCGCCTGGCCCTTCGCCAATGCCCAGGCCCTGGTGCTCCCAAGGAGGCAATGTCCTAGCATTCCTCTGATTAGTACCTAACCCCATGCTCCATCTGAGTCCTCAAGGGTTTCCTAGCCCCTCCCCCAGCCCATGCATAAGAGCCCAGCACTCTCAATGGCAGTCAGGGAAGATGAGTGGGGCATACCCTTGCCCAGAACAGGGCTATTTTTCAGGTGTCAGAACCCGCCGGAGTCCTTCAAAGCATGGCTCCTTCCCCCAGGCCCAGGTGGGGACTCTGTCCCTGCTGAGTGACCCAAGCCTGGCCAGGGCATAGCCTCAGCCCCCGGGGAGGCACAAGAGCATGTTTCCTTCTCTAGTTTCAAATTTTAATGGAGAACAGATGTGCACACATCTGGTTCAGCGTCCCCCCTCCCTTCACCTTTCCAGTTCCTGAAACCCTTAGACAGAGGAGGGAGGCAGGGGAAGGGCCAGGGCCAGGAACAACAAGGGCCGGGGGGCTGAGCTGGGGTCCCACAGAGGCAGCAGTTGGGGTCACAGAGAGGCCCAGTCCCTCTGCCAGAGTGGGCAGACTAAACAAAGATAGAAAGGGTCTGGGCCAAGAGTCCTTGGGCCACCCCGGGGTGGGCTGGCGGCCCCCTCCCTCTGTTTGCACCCTCCCTGGCTTGGCTGGAGCACTCTTGCTACAGAAAACAGAGCCTCCTCATCCTCCCTCCTCAGACTAAGCCATCCAAGACAATGGGCCACAGGGTCCCTCCCTCAGTGACTTTCCCCTAGACTTTGGTCCCAGTTATCTGCCTCCCCCACTTCTCCCCAGCCTGCTCCAAGAACCTGAGGCTTATAAACACTACACCCCAAGTCCTCACCACAGAGACCAGTAACCCCTCGATTGTTTCCCCATCCCAGATACAGGCCAGATCACCCAGGGAGCAGCCCAGACCTGCTAGAGCTGAACCTGCAAGGATGGGGCGGGGAATCTGTCTTTTTAACACATCACACAGTGCTTTTCAGATTGACCAGGTCCTCTGACTTCAAGTTTCTTAACAGCAGGCCAAGGGCTAGTGTTCTCAAGTATCAGATATAGAAACAAGCCCAGAGAGGCTATGACTTGCCTAAGGGTCACACAGTGAATGAGTAGCTGAACCAGTTCTTAGCAGCTCTTGCCCAGGGTCTGTCCCCCCACCACACACACACCAGTTGGTTACCTCTGCCACACCCGACTCTGATGGTTGACAGAGCCAAGGGTGGCACACTCACCCCTCTGGCTGGAGGTCCTTGTCCCCCTGGGGCTCATCGATGTACCAGCTGTTGTAGTAGTCATCTGTTGCCCCCAAGAATGAGGTCTGGTTCCCTGCCGCCTGGGACGACATTCTTGGGCCCTTCTCCTTTGACCCCCAGACAAGAGAAAAAAAAAAAAAAATCCTCTACAAATGTGAAAAGAAGCTTAAAGGGAAAAAAAGAAAATCCTAACAAAGAAACATTTCTTTTTAATCCTAAAGGTTACTTTCTTGCTTTTAGCTCTCTGGGAAAAGCCCTGGGACTGCAGGCTAGGAAGGCTGGCCCAGGAGGAGGGGAAGGGCCTCTCGTGTCCCCTCCTGTCCATTCCCGCCCCATCTTGCCCCACCCTGTAGTTATCTTAGTGTACCCCCTCAGGGTCCACGGGCTCTCACTGGAGGACTATCTGGCTGCTGAACGGCCATCAGCTGACCTTAGCTCAGAGGACCGCTCTCAGAGATTTTCCCATTCAGCCCAAGCTGCCCATGGAGACACCTTTCCTTCTCCTCCCAGCCCACCTAGACGGACCCACAGACACAGCAGAAGGGAGGACCAGGAGGAAGGAGTGCAGAGATGAAAGGCTGAGCGGGCTGTAGGAGGCTCCATTGGGCCTGGGGGTCAGGCCCTCCCAGCTGGGTTCCCACCCTTTCTGCTCTAGGGGTCCAGCCCAAGCCTCCCTCACTTTGCCCAGGCTCTCTGGAGACCATCCCCCAGCCCCAGCAAGGCCCTCTCTCACCACTTGTGCTTCAGTGATGGGGTACACAGAATCCAGACAAAGCCCCCTCCTGGGAGGAGGTCCCAGCACCGTGGTCCCCTTGCCCTGGAGGGGTGCAGCCGGGAGGGCGGCACTTGTCTGTGCATGCACACGTACCTGCCTTCAGCGCCTGCCCCGGAGCCCCCACATTTTTGCCTGCCACATTCTCAGAGTCCAGCACTGTGGCAACCCACAGATGGGGCTGGCCGGCAGATTCAGGGAGAAGGCCCCGTCCATGCCTGCTGCTGGGATTTCCATGAAGAGGGCCTCATGTGTTTCACTGGTAAAACCTTTTTGTTCCTACAACTTGATTTCACAAGAAGATAACTCACCCGCATAGGCGGAAATGAGTCCTTTAAACACGAACCAGACCCAGGGGCAAGCAAGGAACGCCCCGCCTGCCTGCTGCTTCTCCAGGGCCCAGGGTAAGGGTTCCTCCGGTCCTCCTCCCCTGAGAAGCTGGACCCCTTGCTGCCTCCCCTCCCTCTCCCTGGCCCAGCCCACAGGGAGGGGTGAAATGCAGACAGGCAGAGAACTGTGCTCAGCCACCGCTCCTGGGTGGGGGTTCGGGGCCCTGAAACTTAGAGGGTCCCTGTCTTTCCAAGGGGCTCAGGCCTTGTCCTACCCAGCTAGGTATTCAGTAAAGAAGCTTAAAAAAAAAACAAAAGAGAGAGACATTCATTTGTTGCAGGGCATGGTGCCATAAGCCTGTAATCTGTTGGCAACTAGGGAGGCTGAGGCAGAAGAGTTACAGGGTCAAGGCCAGCCTCAGCAATGTAGGGAGAACCACCTCAAAATAAAATAAAAAGGGCTGGAGGTATAGTTCAATGGTAAAGTGCCCCTGAGTTTACTACCAGTAGACTCTCCCGCCAAAAGAAGTGTGTTTATTCTTTCAATAGAAACATATTGAACAGCTACTATGTGCTAGTACTGTTCCCTGGGAACAGTGTTTTGGGGGTAGAGGGCCCGGATCAGTATAAAATAGCCCTTGGCTAGGCACTGTGCCTGTAATCCCAGTAGCTTGGCTCAGGAGGCTGAAACCGGAGAATTGCGAGTTCAAAGCCAGCCTCAGGAATGGTGAGGCACTAAGCAACTCAGTGAGACCCTGTCTCTAAATAAAATACAAAATAGGGCTGGGGATGGGGCTCAGTGGTTGAGTGCCCCTGAGTTCAATCCCCTGAACCAGAAAAAAAAAAAATAGCCTTAAGAACAGAGGGTTGCAGAGGGAAGGCACAGGTGCCCTGGTTATATCCTGGGAAAACCAATTTGGTTGGGGAATTGGGGGTGGGAAGGATTCCTGAAGAAAATCACTTTGGGTAAAGATCAGGAGTTAGGAAAACCAGTTGGGCTGAGGAAGGGGTGGGGCAGTCGAAAGTGTGGTCCCTACGTGGGGAACAGCCCGAGTGAATCTCAGAGTAGGAGGCCTTGAAGTCCTCAGTGTCCCCGCCCTCCCACGTTCCTGAGCCAGGCCCACAAGGCAGGATTAGGGCCTGAGCTCTGGTAGACTCATTCCTCCGCCTCCTTCCCCAACAGCCACTCTTCCAGGAAAGGGGCTCTGACCTCCCTCCCGTCCCACAGAGAGATCAGCTGACTCCGAGCTGAACCGAGCTTAATGCAGTACAGGAGACATGATGGCCCTTGGCCCTCGGATCCCAGGTTCTCAGGTGAATCATGCCTCTTCAGCCTGGGAGTGGGCTCCCTGAGGGCAGAATCCCTGCCTCTTCTTCTCTTCCTGATGCACAATGCCTGGCTGTGGGGCTCAAGGGGCTTTAGAAATTGAGATTTGTAAAGCCATTGCTTGTTCTAGTGACCAACATTCAACCGTGGGCCTGTCCTATTGTGCCCTGAGGTTCACCTGCTGGGCTTTCCAGAGGCCTCTGCTCAATATCAAAGCCCAACACGCCCTTCACCACTCAAAGATCTGAGTTTAGGGAGCAATCAGCTCCTGTCTGAATTGGGGTTCTTTTTGGTACCCAGGATCCAACTCAGGGACACTCAACTACTGAGCCACATCCCCAGCCCTATTTTGTATTTTGTTTAGAAACAGAGTCTCACTGAGTTGCTAAGCAGCTCACCATTGCTGAGGCTAGCTTAGAACTCGTGATCCTCCTGACTCAGCCTCCTGATCTGCTGGGATTACAGGTGTGCGCCATTGCACCCAGTTCCTATCTGATCTTTAATCCCCCTCTTGATATCTCCAACAATTGAAGGTTAATTCCAGAGAGAGAATGCCCTCCCTGCCTGAGGCAGAGACATGCATTTGGCCAGAACCGTGTCCTGCCCTGGAGGGAGCCAGACTCTGTCTTCCAGGCTCATTTGTTCATTCAACAAATATGTGCCAGGTTGTAGCCTTGGGGCTAATGATACAGCACAGGGCAAGTCCTGCCCCTCAAGGAACTTAACATATAATGGTAGGGGCGGGCGTGTGCTGAGAGGAAAAATATGTCAGGGAAAGAGAAGAGAGGCAGAGAGAGAGGAGCTGGCTGTTCTGGATCAGGTGGTCAGGGAAGGCTTCACTGAGGAGATGGTATTTAGCTTGTACCTGAAGGGATGCAGAGACCCCATCAGGCTACCTGAAGGAGCCTCTGCTGAGCCTCTATCAGCATCAGGAGGGCACCAGGTTTGCCCCAGGAGAGCCCAGGCACTGTCCCTCTCCCACTTCCCTGGATCAAACCTGCTCCCCCTAAAGGACTACTGAGGACACTGCCCCCCCCCATCCCACCTCCACAGCCCGGGTTCTATGATACCACCTTCGTCTTCACTGGGGAGACACAGAAGTCACCTTCATGGAAGCCCTATGCAGAGGTGAGGAAAAGATGAGCTTTATCCTTCTGCCCTGATATGGGCTCAGCTGGCAGAGGACATCTTCATTGCTAATATGGTACAACTACCGCGGGCCAGGCTGAGCTGGAAATGGGAAGGAGCGTGGGAAGGTAGGTGGGGTAGGAAATGCCAGTTGGTAAGGTAGCCTACCTGAGTTTGAGCCCTGGAGCTGGCCCTGAGGCTCCCTTCTCAGGTCATGGCCCCACCTCTGTCTGCTCCAGCCTACAGATTCTTCTGTTGTGGGTTCTCCTCCCCAAAGCCCCCACCCCCTGCCCTCAGTGACTTCATGGCCCAAGAATGTGTATCCAGCACATCAGATACTGGTTATAGCAAGCAGATCAAAGCCACAGAGGCTGGCTGTGACTTCATAGCCTTTCGACCCACCTGGCCTCCAGCTCCCACACCCACTCTGGCAGGGGCATGGGATAGATCATGGGTACTGGGTGGCTACACAGCTTCAGCTTGATAAAGATCCCATTTCTTGAGCCCAAAGTAATTCTTCAGCCTGGGGGCAGAACAGCTTGGAGCTCGGGAATGCTTGGAGCTGCAAATGAGAGGGCTGGCTGGCTCTGAGATGGAAAGAGGTCATCTGGCCAGACTACAGGAGAAGCACTGGGGACAGGAAAAGGGTAAGATGCACCACTGAAGGATTTCTCCAAAGGCCTGGGGAGCAGGGCCCAGGGCCTGCCCTCAGGGGTGGGTTGCACAGGAACATTGGTACCCAGGAGAATCCGAGGCCAGCCTTGCCATCAGGAGAGGAGAGGCTGCAGAGCAGAGGAACTCGGAGACAGAACTGTAGAGGCCCAGAGAGGGAGGAAGAGGGAGGAAGGTGACAGCTTGCATGATCTTGGGGGCTTCCTGGAGGAAGGGCGTGGAGCAAAACCCTGAGGCCAGAGAGGTCCAGGAATGGTAGCAAGAATGAAGTCTGTCTTAGGAGAGCCAGAAGAGGCAGGGGAGAGGCCTGGAGAGAGTCCTTCAGAGGTAAGGGGAGGGTTGGCCTCCTGCTGAAACCAGCAATGGGCCCCTGTGGGCATACTCAGATGGAGCTGATGTCAATGTCCCAGGAGTAGCTAGAGCCAGCAGGACTCAGGGTGGACTTGGATGGGGGTGGTTAAGCCCTGCCCACTGTGGGAGGAAGTCCAAACTTCTGGACTGTGAGCCCATGAAGGTCATCTGCCACCTTGGCCTGGCACAGAGCTGCCCTGCCCTTTGGGCTGGAGTTGGCCTGTGAAAGCCTTGGGACCTGGCTTCCTTCCTCTCCATGTTTTTGTTCAAGTTGATTAAACCTGAGGAATGTTTGTGTCAAGGAACAGAGGCCTGCGTGCCTGCCTTCAGCTGGCTGTGGTTATCAAAATCTTCAAAGGGCAAAATGCTAAGATTAGAAGGAGCTAAGAGTTGTGTGGAAGGAATAGAGAAGGCCAGTAGCATCCCCACAACCTCAGAAACACCCCCCCCCCAAGAGCCCCAGGTCTCCAGGACCCCTCCAGAATCTCATCAACATTCCCTGAATTTCAATAATGTCACCAGAACCCC